ATCAGGTCAGGGGTGGGTTCGAACCCCCTTTGACTGCGTGAGCTTTAAGGAGATGATACTCGAATTGTTAGACACATTAGAAATGATTGAAGGCTCGTATAATAGTCTATGACCATTTCTTTTAAAGAGTTGGGCTGATTTGTAATTCTTCCACAAATATATTTGAAAAATGACTAAATTGTTATTTTAATGTTTTTCATAAATATTTAGTTTTTGAAAAAGTGAAATGAATTGTTTTAGTAATACACATGGAATAAAGTATTTTGAGTTTGAATTGGCTTTAGATTATTATAATGAATATGGGAATTTAAATACATACTACATTATTCATATATTTACATATGTAACCCTTAAAACTTTCATATTTAGATGTATAACACTCAAATTTCTTACATCACATTCAAAATATTGCTATCACTGATATTTTAAAAATAGAATATATATTTTCATGCAAATATTTTTAATAACAAGATGTTATAAAAGTACATATCAAACTATAAGTGTTAGGTATAAATGTAAATAGATATGAATTGTGTGGTACGTTTGTAAATTTTTCTAATAAATATAGCAAGTCATAATATGTCAAATGAGCCAAATGTCCCAAAAACTAACTCTAGTAATTCCCATATTATTTTCTAAAAATAATTTGAAAATACAACTTGATCATTATTTTATAGCTTTATTTTGAGGAAAAAATATTGTTATTTTACCAGATTTTTAATTTTCTTTTTTTAACTATTTAGGCCTTTTTCACAGTATGATGTCCAAGGGACATAGCATAAAGGAGAACATGTCATCTTTGAGATGATGACAAGGGATGACTCTGAAGCCACTGAATCATATATAGCATATTAGAGAAGCTGACATAGGAAAAAAGTAAGCTCTTCAATGACATTTATGTTTCGATTATTATGTTCCTCTAACATTATGGCAAACATTATTAATTAACTTTTTTATAATGTCATCATTTGTCGATGAACCTTAAAGGCACTTAGATTAGTGGTTTGTGCGTGCCGGATGGGAGACTAGCCCTGATTGACCACGGGACAACGGGGTCAATCACATTAAGTTCATTTTCGATCAACGATTCTATGAACATGACTCAAATGCCCATGATGACCATTTAAACTTAATCCAAATGAATATCAATATTTAGATTAGTACGACACATCATTTAATAAATAATATTGACAAATTAGTTGTTAATTAAGAGAAAAGAAACAAATATTAAGATAAAATTAAAATGATAATGTTTCCATGTCATTTGATTGTCTGTTTTTGAAAGCAAAAGGTTGAACAAAAAATAAATTAGGCAGACCAACTTATCCCAAAAGTGGTTGCTAACATCAACACATGGAAGAGGAAAGTTTTGCTCTGAACATTAACATGTGGGTATGAGTCACATGATGAAAGTTTTAACTTTAAAAGTTGGTTGGTAATAATCTTTTTATTAAGGTTGCTAATGAACCGGGTGGTTGCCACATTTTTAGTGCTTTGGCACAGTTAATACTCATCATGATCGTTTAATTAACTAATCTAATAAAGTTAAAGATGTTTTAAATATTTGTTTGTTAAACAAATAAGCTTGAGTAAATTGTTGCTCGATATGTTTATAATCGTAAGCAGTATTGTTTAAAATATGTTAAGAAGCATAATTATGGTTCAATTATATATATATATATATATATATATATAGAGAGAGAGAGAG